GAAGGGTTTCAGGGAAGCTAGGATCCCCAAAAGCAAAAGAACCTTTCACACAGAAAAAGAACGAGAAGTAGAACCTGGTGGTCAGATATGCTATAGCTTGTTGACAAAGAAGATACGCTAAACTTGGTTAAGACAAGAAAAGAAGAAAATGTCCAAAGGTACCCAACATTGAGTGGGTGTGAGAAAGGACATGGATCCCAGGATAAGCCCCCCCCCTCTAACAGAATAGCCCTAGAAAATGAAGGGAGGTAGGAAAAGAGGAATTATCTGAGAATGGGCTAACAGAAGGAAATAGTCCAAGAAAAGTAATGCCAGCCCCAGGTCACAAATATGGCAAGTAAAGGCCCTCATGATGCTTAGGAATACAAGAAAGGCTGACATTAAGTTGAAAGGAAGAACAAGGAATGAGAAGACATGAAAAAGATGGACAAAGTATAGAACAAAGATAGAGGACATGCTGAAAGAGATAAGTAGGAAGGTGTCCAACACATCAACCATGGCCAACTATAGACCAGGTGAGAAAGACTGTAGATGGGGTTGGAGGGATGAAAAAATGAAATGGGAAGATAAGAGGAGCAAGGAAGAAGACAAAGGTGGAGAAATGGAAAATGACTGTCATCTGAAATTGATACTAAAAGCAGGAGAAGAGACAGGTTATCACTGAACCACACTGACAAGAGTGATGAATTACACTTCTGGTAGAAGGGGGAAAAAAAAGAATAAGAAAGTCCTGGAATACAGGGTGGAAGGTTAGAAGGAGACAGATCTGGATGAGGGATAGCAGTAAAGAAGTTTTAGAAAGAGGACAGAACCTGGGAGAATAAAAAAGACACAAGTCACATAACAACACACCAGGTAATGAGGGGGAGGAGGAACATTCCTCAACACATCCAGACAAAAATAGGGAGTCAGATGAATAAGAAGTACACAAGAAGAAAGAAGGGTAGAGTAGAGAGGAATGTAACCTGATCCAATGAGTCCTGACGCAAAGAGAACAAAGTACAGAGGGACGGAGCAAAAAAGTAGAACATGCTAAACAGAAAAGGAATGAAAATCTACAGAAGCCACCATAAGAATAAAAACAAGCAGGTAGAAAAGACAAGATTAATTCCAAGAAATATGGATGATAAAGTGAGAAAAAAATAATAAAGAACATAAGCAAAAGATAAGGAAAGGAACATACTTGAGAAGAAAATTAGGAAAGAGATTGAACGGTTAAGGTCATCTCTCAAATAATAAAGTATTACCCAATGCAAATCAGGTGAAATTCGTAGTCCAACATACCATTCTTGACTGTTGAGAAAGAAATTCAACTGATGGGATGGAGTAGGAGGCCCATTATGCATGTGGTAATTCACAACATGTTGGAAAATGGCTGCAATTACTCCAACAGTTAACGAGCCTCAAAAATCTACAGCAGAAATAAGTCCTAAGTGTGAATTACATTAAACACTCAGGACCAAATATAAATCAATGCCCTTTGAAAATTAAAGATAAAAATTAAAACAAAGCCAAAGAAAATGAAAATAAAAGTTTCATTAATGATGCAAATCTCAATAAAGTGAATGCAGACAAGAAAATTAAACACTTCTGTTCAATACAAGGAGAAGAATGAAAATTCTCAAATGCATGTGCATAGGGAGAGTCATTGTGCATGGAGTTGTGTCACCCTCCTATTGGTGAAGGGCTTTTGTCGAATGATGTCATTACTCAGTAGCACAATTCACATAAAATCTCATGAAGTTAGTTAGGAGTTGCCTAAAGGCTAGTAGCATGCAAATCTTTATGGCAGATATACGGGGAAGATAGCTAAACTGGAATGGTCTTGGAACTGAAATATGGATATTCATCCAGGTTAATAAGTTTATGAATCACATCTATATATACATATATTAATTCTTTGAACGTGATGAGACTTTAAAGCACTTTCTGCACATGTCTATTATCAAGTACATTATAATTTAAACTTTTATATTATCCAAGTTTTATTCCTCTATTTTTAAAATAAAAACCTGCAGTTTTTGCTGTCACATGACCCACTGTGGTTAAAATTCTCAAGTTTAAGAGGTATTACACAAGAAACTATTTAGCTCCTAATACCGACTGTTGGTATAGACGGTCAAAGTACAGTTCCAGCTGTCTCTCATTAGCTGGGGGGAAACTTCCAAGAATTTCTTCCAGTGTGAAAGAACATTCTAATATTTCTAAGTTTCAGGTTAGCCACACTCACTTGCAAAATCAGAGCTGTGTTATCATGCGACACTTTGAAGTTGAATGGCATGTTTATAACCAATAGAAAAAGCAGATTTCACACTATTCAGTTATAGCCTGAAGAAACCTCTACCTGTGTATGGATCTGTAGTTTGAAATAGAAAATAAGCTTAGTCCATTGTTCTCTTGAGGAGTATGTAATGTTTGGCAAGTGTTTATTGCCTTATATGTATTTGTTTGGTAAACAGTTAGATTGCACTTAGGTTTTGCATTTATATTTTGATTAATTATGTATTTATTTGTTTTTAAAAATGCATATTTGAAATGTTTATAATTTTTATACGTTTAACTTGTTGTAGTTTGGCTTACCAAAATGTCTAAACAAGATGGTGTCATTTGCATGTGAGAGCATAAGTGTTTGAAATTTGTGCATGAGACTCACCCTATAATAACAACAAATCACTGTGCAGGACATGTTGTTGATCTTGGGATAATGAATAAAAGACAAAGAATTGGAAATGAAAATTAAAAATAAACTACAAGTGAAAAGATAAAGATGTGAAATTATGCATCTGACAAAAAGAAGTTTGAAACTATTCTATGAAAATTTAAAAGGTATGTATATACTTCCATTTCTTAATTGCAAACATCTTATTGCACAATACGTTGATGTCTGAAGTTAATGATATAATAGAGAAAATGGAAACAAAACATATAAACATTTACCTTAAAAACTTTGATATTCATTAAGAAGGTTCTAGAGATTATGCAAATCAAATGTGAAAACTGTGAGATAAACAGTATTTTTATACTCAAAATGAAAATCACATTGCATGTGAGCTGTTCAGAGTCTGAGTGGAAATAACTACATTAAATGATGAATATTATATTTTAAAAAGTAGAAAAAATCAAAATTAAATATTTTATTTTTCTAAAAGTACATAATCTTAGGACTGTTCAAGTCAAATTTAAAACTATTTCATCAACTAATTTCATTTTTATAAAGAACTTTTACAAAAGTCACATACCTACTTACAATGTAAGTAGATCATAGTCAAAGCGTTAATAAGTATGTCTAGAACTCAATATAAATTGTTTCCTAATTTTCCCATAGAGTGAATATATTGTTTATGTAAAAGATTGTCATAAGCAACAAAAAAGACTATCCTTTAATCTTTCATAAGTGGATTTCATTATCTATTTGGGAGTTGCATGTAGATTTTAAAAAACTCATAAAAATGCATACAATGGTATATGATGTTATATATAGTTACTTTTACTTTAAGAATATGCTACAATGGCTATTTTACTATTTTTGCAATAATTATTTTAATTTGCAAAGAAATATGAAAAATAAAGTGTTCAAGCTTTCATTTCTGCACAACTTTTAAGAGTTTTGCCTGTAAACAGGAAATTTTTGATTTTTAGAAGTTTTTTTCCCATCTGAAATTGTAAGCTTATATTTACTAAGAACCTATAATTCTACACATGATTTTCCCTTTTTATTAATAATTTTATTACTATAGGCTTCATTCCCACCCCTTTTAAGATGTCACATCATGTGGTCCAATCTATTACTAATAAAACACAGCTTTTAAAATTGAAATTGGCAAGATTTAAATCTGATTGGATAGTGCAGAGTATAACTACTTACATTAATGTAAAGTAAACAAAACTGGTTTGAGAAGTAATTTATGGATTAGATGGAGCTCCTGTAGGGATTAATAAAGAAACAATCCTCAGATCTAGGAATTTTTTGTTTAGTTTCTTAAACATTCTTTTTGTTTCTGTAAATGTTTTCATGTTAAATTATAGTTGTATGAAAATTACAGATAAAGTTATTATATGAGAAGACATCAGATAAGCTTAGTTAGGGTTTGTGATTGAGCATAAGCAATTAACTATAATAAAATAAAAAACCTGGGTAAAATAAATGCATGGATCTTCCACAACTGCATACTTGTAAAAATGCAACCTGTGTTTAGTATTATTATACAGCATAATAAAAATCTTGAAATGATTTTATATACAAATAGAAAAAACATCTATTATATGTCAACAAAATTAGTGTATTACTGGTAAATACACTTAAACTGTCAAATGAAAGGAAAAACAAACACAAACTATCTATTGTTAGCTATATGAACTCTGAAATATTTTAGGTAAACTAAGTGAACAAGAAATAGTTAAACAGAGATCTGAATCTTTTCCAACAGCAGTCATCCCACAAAAATTATTGTACAGTAATCTTTATCTATTTCATCTTTAATAAAGTTAAAAATATCAAAGAGTATAATAAACAAGATAAAAATGGCAGAATTTCATAACATTTACAATGCTATGAAAATTTGGATTATTTGAAGCTTCATAATCAAAGTTTAACCTTTTAAGGTCTATAAACTTCACAAAATTATAGCCTGTACTGTAAGATCTAAATAAGTGTACTATTAGAATCTGTTCAAAATAGCACAAAGTACTCTTTATAAACATAAGAAAAAGCTTCTCCTATAACTATATTTTAATAATATACACCAGTGTGGTCCAACTTCCAACTATTAGTCCTGGAGATGCATAATAGCGCCATTACTGAGATCATGTAGTCCGTACACTCATTCTGAATCTTAGGTTATAGTTAAAGTGTTAGCAATGAAAATATTTTACTCACAAATACATTTTCATTGGAAAACCCAATTTCAGTAAGTCACTAGTATCAATTTACAACATTCCAATATTTCTACACATAAAAGATTGAACCACCCTAATATATACAATGTTTTTACACAACTTACTGCAGTATGAGAAGGAGATCCTGTATCAACTCTGTCAATTTTCACAAAGGGCTTCAACTGGCTCATATCCTGAAAATTATCTAAATCTTCTGCTTTTTCTGTAGTCTTTTGCCCAACTTTTTCTTTGGCATGAAGTGAAAATAATCCTTCTTCTATTTCCTTCATTAAAGTTTTGTGGTCATTCTGTAAGCCTGAAAATGTTAAAAATAATTATATTTAATAATATAGAAAACATGGAAAAAACCTATGTAATTATAGTAGGTTTGCAAATTAAAAATTTATTTCAGAATGTGAGTACCTTTTAAAAACTAACTACTTGCATGCCTTGCTCTAATTGTAACAAAAGAATAAAGTATCTACCATTTTTTCAGTAACTATTTATGTACTAGATTATTCAACAATAAAATAAAATTTTGCCAGTCTGACAGGTATTACTGGTCAAACTACAAGATTTCTTCACAAGAGTCAGGTTTTTACATCTGGTCCAAAGCAATAGCCTGGTAAAGTTCTAAAATAAATACACAAAAACAAGTTTTAAAATATATTTTTTAATCACTTATCAAATTTGTACCATATCACAAAACAAAGTTTTATCCTTACTGTAGCTCACTTAGCATTATATTTTTTCATAAATAACCACTTATGCAGAGAATATTCTTTACCCAGTAAAGATAGTTGAGCAAAGGTACTGTCGAAAGAACCTCTTGCATTATGCTAAAGTGTCACATACATAAGTGGAATGAAAAGACTACTCAAATGGACAGTATATTTCAGATGGTCAGCAGACTACAGATGTGTGGTGTGGATGGGGTGAATAACTCAGACCATACAGTACATAAGATATACTTACAAGGAGAAGCAGTATAAATCATCCAAGAGACCCACATCCCGAAACAGACACAAGAACTATCTCTAGCATGATCACCATGAATGATCTGGTTAATAGTGTAGAGGATGGCCTGTACTATACTTTCAGGTGAACAACTGAGCACTACTTCCTATCAGTGGGATTACACCAACCTGATGGAGAATATTCACATCAATCTCTCAACAGTTTGAGAGTGGGGAAGTAAGAAAATAAAAAGGAGTATTTGCATAGGGGAGAATGTTGGAGAGGTGCTTTGACTGAACATGTATCATCACATCTATATAAGGTCTTACACTGATGGACTGTTCAACGAGTTATCATGAATAAGGACAGCAGATGTTAGCCAGATGTGAAGGCAAGATCATACTAGGTTTTTTTTTTTTCCTGGTGGAACCTACAAGGTAAAATACATATACATATTGCTGAAGCAGTCTTGTATAAAATCCCAACTCAACAACAGGCACTGAGGAGGGGCAAATGGGCTGAACACCATCTGTTATCATCTACTTAATTATTTTAGATTAGAGAAGTATTCCTCATTTCTCTGTAAGGCAACATTGGCCATGTGGTTGGTTCAATTATCTCTATAATATGTGTGAAAAATAAGGTGGTTTTGGGAGCTACAGAAAAAAAGGAATAATTAACTGCTCACCTTCTTACAGCCACTGTGAAAATTGGAGAACAGTGACCAGAGGAAGACAAAAACTATAAGTAGATGAAACCACAACATGATGTAATTTGACATAAAGGTGTCAAGAGGTTCACAGAGAAGCATCTGTGAACAGGTGCAAGTCCAGACAAGGTTGGTGCATGAGACACAAGGGATCTGAGGTGGTGGAAACATAAGAAAAGCCAGTGAAAAAGCACCTGTGTGACTCAACAGTCTTCTGTGAAAGAAGTTAACAGGTGTGCACAATTGGAAGTGAAGCTCCCATCAGACCAAGTCCAAAGGGTGACTCCACGAACAAGTACCCTCCATAATCTTAGAGGGGGGAGACATTAGAAAGTAGAAAGAAGATGAAGAGAATGAGTTACCCTACAAGGTTATCAAGGGTAAGAAACCAGTAAGGACCCTCTGAAACAAACAAGTCAGAGATTGAAAGTGAGAAGAAATCACTACTGATGAGCTTGAGTTTCCAATGAATAAGGAACCTCTCAAAAAAACTTCATCATGACAAATGGTGCCATACAAAGGACCCCAAGATAAAACTCTAGAAAGTAAGGGATCCTGACCAACTAAATGCTTGAAAAAAAAAAAAAATTGTGACTCTAAAGAGATTTCAGAAAAATTGAGGTCAAAGTAGAGAATTTATAGGTGCATTTTTTTCCCAAGAAAACTGTCAGGGTAGCAATGTAGAGTCTGTGAAAGAAGATGGAGTAGGGACAGATAGCAAAGTTGACTAAAATAACAACTAGCATACTGAGGACAAAAGAGATAAAGAATAAGAAGAAAGAGATACCATAGCTTGAAAAAAAGAGATTCAAGGAACTAAAGCTCATGTAAATTAGAAAAGTCACTACAGAAAATACAACAGAATAGTCTTGAAGCCTTGGATGTCAAGACAAATTGGATTTGGTACTAAGTGAGACAAAAACACACGAACATGAATGTTGGGAAGGAGGAATAAAAGATAGTCGGAAGGAAACTCATGCAGCAAGGTAGCACGGGAAAGAGAAAAAATGTCACACACCTATGAAAACAATTCAGCAAAGTAAGAAGATTGAGTTACTTGTTCCTCATTGGAAAGGGAAGGGAAAACAAGGAGGTGGAAACAGTAAGTTCAAATCATCAAAAGACAAGGTAGGTTCAGTTGAAGTAGTAAAAGCATGAGGTCCTAAATCTTGGATCTAAGATCATAATGAAACCAACAACCTGGTGCACAATGGTGGTAATGTCAATGACTGTCAGAGTGCCACCATTTGCCTTTCCACACAATAACACCCAAATGTTAGTGTCAGGATTTTGTGAGGTGTCAGAAATGTGAATTAACAGCTGAGCTAATCTACAACACTATTTATTTTCTACTTTTTAAGTAGGTTTGGTTTATCTACGGTATGTGGGTCTTGGTCATTGTCACAATGATGAAATTAAAGATTAATTATCAAAACCCAAACAATAGATTATTATCAAAAGGGTACTTTCACACTAATCATATCAAGGACCCTGAAACACTTGTCCCAAAATTTCATAATTTGGTTACCAAAAGAAATGTAATTCATAAAAGAAAATATAACAAATAATTTTGAAATTTTTTTCTTGAAATTCAGAAAAGAATGGTAAGGAAAATTAAATGATGAATTGTAAGTAAATGTTTAAAATAATAAGCACAAAAATTCCATAATTATTCTTAAAAAAATACACATATGAAGCCAAGCAGTGCCAAGGAAAGAATGAACCTTTCTTAAAGCATGAGTGCTCATTGGGTTTACCATACATGAATGATGTGTCACCCTCCTATAGTCTAATACTAGTTGCACCACAAACTGGTATAGTATATATCAGCACGCATCATGACAGGAACTTCATTCAAAGCTTGACAACTGTGCCAAAAAATTATCACCAATGGTGTAAGGTAATAGCTATCTATTCCGCATAAAGGTGAGTAGCATTTCTGAACCTAAGTTTGTTATATTGTACATGAATATATTTCAAGGTTGAATGGACTTAAAAAAAAAAAAGAAGTCAATTTTTTCCTTACATTCCCTTGTACTTCTGAAACACAAGCAAATACATTGAAAAACTTACCAAGTAAGGATAGCAATGTCTTGAAAAGATAAACATTTAATTATACAAAAAACATTAAGATTGTAAGGTCACATGAAAAACTTAAAAACAGAAGAAAAAAAAATACAACCTACAATTTTCTCCTCGGGGGTGTGTCATTTTTAATACCCAACTAGGATTAAAGTCAAATTTCACCAAATTTAAAAATAGATGCCTAAAAATAAATTTGACCTCTCAGTAACCTCTACTCTTACAGGGACAAACTTCCATTTTTCCTGTATTAAAAATATTAAAACTCTTAGCTTTCATGTAGCCCTTGTTAGAGCTAGGCTATTAGTGGTACTTGCTAATCAATAATCAATGTTCCCATTAATCTATTAATAGTGTTCTTCCAACCATGATACATTAAAGGAAAATAAAAGGCTGGCAACAAGTGATATCAACCAGCAGTTATATATTAGTGACTGGAACAAATAACCTCAGTAAACTCTGCCATAGAAAAAAGCAAGAGGTTTGATGGCAAAACTGCAATTACTTAAATGGTTGGAATAATTGCACACAGTCATATTTGAAAAACCCTAATTTTGAGTAATTGATTATTTTTGTGACAATTGATTTAATTGTAATTTTGATTAATTCATTAGTTTATGTGACACTAATCAACATAATTACCTATGGGCAATTTAATCAATTACTGCTGACCCACGCACGCATAAAAATGCATTATTTTGTTATTATGGATATATTCTGAACCACTCATTTTAATAGGATAGTTGCCTTTAGAAGGCCTCTAAAGACAACAAATTTTGTGCATGTAGACCCACATTTGAAAATCTTTCCTTGACTTGGTTTAAGTTGCTGCTTTGTTGCAATAGATACTAACAACACGTCATTTATGATCATGTTATCTGCTACAAACATAATAGAGAAGAATGCAAACCTTGTTTGAAAACTACTCCCATGATATGGTTTCATTGGGTGCATACAGAAGAAGAGCCACACTACAACTGATCCATAAGCAGCTACGTTTTGTATGTTGCAGGAAAAGATTTTGCTTAGTTTAAGTGTTTCCGAGTCCTATTATTGTGGCTTATATGGAATTTCAGATCCTTTATATTAATTTTCTTTAATGGAAAATGTTTACCACCTGGCTCTCAGCTTCTATTAGTTTAAGTAATATTACAGGAACACTGAAACCAGCCAAATTTACAAGAAAAACTATATGGTCCACCATGTCCAATTGAGCTGAATACTAGGTGACAAAACCTTGGGGGTTGCACCAACAGGCATTAACCCCCCTCATCTGGAGGCCTTGCACAAGATAGAAGAGTTCCTTTACCAATGCTAACAGTGGTATCCTGGCAGTATACTGTCCTACTGATTCCTCATCTTTTGATTTTCTATCCCTATACACTATATAGTATTTTGCTTTCCAGCAGTCCCATCCCTCTGAATGTTTATGAAGATGTTTCATGATTGTTACTTTCACTTTACTAGTGAAGAGAAGTTCGAAATCATGCCAGTAAAGTTGTGCTAGATTTTAAACAGAGGCTTCTTCTACAAGCTTGTCAGCTTCCTCATTTAGTTTTACCCCTGCATGGCTTGGCATATACATATATCCAAGTGATGGTCTTACCAAGCAGTTACATCACTTTCTGCCACCCATCTGTGGACCAATCACACTGCATTTTATGCAGTACTGCCTTTGAGTCAGTAGCAAATACTATGTTGATGGTACCGTTTATTTGCAATTCACTGCTTTCAGTAATTCAGAGAATAAAGCTTGCTTTATGGCTTCTAACTCTATCCTTTTGTTTTTAGTGGGAAGCTTGAATGCTCCACCAATCTGATGCATAATGTTGTTGTTCTAGGAGATGATGAAAGCTCAACACAATCTCTTGCTACCATTGTTCAGAAACCATGTGTCCATGATAATACAATATGGTCCATCATAGTCTTTAACCCTTTTCAATTCTGGGTCTCAGGAGTTTGCAGCATCTA